GCCTGAAAGGGTGCAGCCTCTCGGCAGGTACACTGTAAGGTTGAGGGGCCGAGTGAAGTAGCTTCAGACCATAGTACGGTATAGTAGAGTACTACATAGTATAACATTATAGTATCGACCAGTAGAGTTTTTTCTCGTTTACGATACAGTATTGTGTGGTCTTATCTAGTGTAAGATCGTATCAGTAGTAGCGTGGTATTTTGCAGTATACGTGTAGTACAGTATTATATAGTATTGTATAGTAATATATAGTAGTATATCTTGTGATGAAGTATGGTATAGTATGAGATGGTATCCGTGGTGTTCCGTCGGCTGCCCATGGCTTTTAAAAACAGGCATGCTCCTGGCATTTTTCTTGCTCTGCATGCTCTTCTTGCACAATCCTGAACCCTAAAGCCCGAAAAACCCTAAAGCCCTAAAACCCTCGAGCCCTAAAATCCTAAAAACCCTAAAACCCTAAAACCCTAAAGCCCCAAAACCCTTAAACCCTAAAGCCCTAAAAGCCCTAAAACCCCAAAACCCTAAAACCCTAAAACCCTAAAAACCCTAAAGCCCCTAAAGCCCCTAAAACCCTCAGTCCCTGGCCCCTAACGAGGCGATGCCTGCGACGCCGTGGAGAGCGTCCTCCGAGATTTGGGTCTGCAGGAAACTCTCCGCTCGGCGCCGCGGGGCCTCAAAAAGGGGAAGTTTTGTGCCCCTGTTAAAGGGGCCTGTACCGGTTTAAGGGTTTAGGGCTTTAGGTTTAGGATTCCCGTACGGTTGCTGTATGTTGCTGTAGGGGTTCGCGAGGGCTTCGGGCTTCACAGGGTTGAGGTATGTGCGCCTAAGCTGAGGGTCCTGTGACCACCTGTGGAGGGAACATGTTCGTACGGCTTTATCGATATTTTTCGGGAATGCTCTTAGGCTCTTAGGCACTTCCAGATCTCTATACTGGGTTTGGGGAGTCAGGGGTTTGAGGATTTAGGAGTGTCTGCCGCTGTTCAGGGATTGGGGCGCACACTGGGTGCGGTGACGGGGTCTGCGGCAAAAGCTGCGACTCCCGACATAATGCATGGAGGAGAAACGGTTGTTGCATCGCAGGTGTGGTGAGGATAGTGCTGACGATCATGATTTTCGTTGCCGTCGTCATGGCTATCAGGGCATATCAGGGCACTGATGAGTTATCGTACCACGTGGTGTTGACTGTATTATGACATGAGCTAGGACTGCTGTGCCACTGCTTTTGCTGGTTATGCAACTGTTTCCGTTCATGCACTCGGAGCACCGCGAGACCAACAAGTAGCACGCCAAGATTAAATCACCACAGGCAGCAGCAGAAGAAGGCTGCCTTGCAAGAGACGCTGGAGCAGAAGAGACTGGAGGAGAGCAGCCCTTACTATGTTACTACTACTACTACTACTACTACTACTACTACTACTACTACTACTACTACTCACTGCATGATGTCAAATGCGTACTGCTGCGACAATAAATAGTTCATTTTGAGTTCAGTCTTGGTTTGATTGCTTATGATGCTTCTAGTCTGTTTCTCAGTCCCTGATTCCTGCTGCTACCGCTCGCAACGGTGCACCGTTTATGATTCGTAAAACTTGCTTGTAATTTCAAGCTCTAAACTCCAGCATGACAATGAAGGATCTCGGGAAACTTCCTCAGAATGGCTTCAAGTAGTATGGTATGTAGGCTCTTCTAAAGCCACGCTGTGAAAGCTGCATAGAACCCTCCTTTTCATCATCCAAGAAATGACGACCCGACACCTTGACCTTGACACCCTCGAGTTGGTTTCCTTGTGATTTTCGACTGTGTACTTGTGCAAGAGGTGGGCTGTTGTTCTTGTTTTGGGCTTTGCAATGAGTTATGATATACCACTTTCACTAGCACGTGCTTGGAAAGTAGTCTCACTGCCTCGTTTTGGTATACATTTGGAAACAAGTATCCGGGAGTGAGCTCGAACATACGGGTTCCCTAGCTCCCCCTGCTCAGTATCTGGCAAGAGCCGGCCTCATGTTTACCCAAATCCTCGATCCGATTCCTCTCAATTTGCACGGAGAAGGCAGAAGGCAGGCGTTCAGCCCCAAACCCTGAGCCCTAAATCCTCAACCCCAAATCCTCAACCCTAA